TGCATGTATGTATTTGATGGCAGTAAAATACTGTCATATCCACTAGATGGCACATGATGACCATGGTTAACACATTATACCTCCACAAAACCTCCCATTCATGGCATAAATAAAGACTAGCATTATTAATTTATACCATTGCATCCACTCTGTTCCAATATTTATTTAGTCAGCTGTTTCCTTTAATCCTGCTTAGAACACCATTGACTAAAATCCCAGATACATTGAGAAGTTCTTTTTTTAAAAATCCCAAAGAACATTTTGTTACCTAAAAATTACAAGCTGCCTTTTAAAGGACCTAACTCAACTTGAACTTCTGACTGTGGAGCCAGAAAGTCTAAAAATTCAAAAGCAAAAAGAGACATTTTTGAGCTGGAAAGGATGCAATAAAACATCTTTAAATGATTTCTATATACAGTATAAAGATACAGTATCTTTCTGCTTTTCAGTGGAAGACTCCTATAATTTAACAAATTGAGATAAACGAATAGTCCAGCCGATTTGGAAGCAAACTTTGTCCACTGCAATAGAAACTTTGAAAAGTTATATATTTTAAAAATAATTAGCTAAGAGATCAAGAATGTAACTATTTACCAATATAATTTTTTACACTGATAGCTTACTTTCTCATCATTCAAAAGTAATATGGCTATTTTAGTTACCTTTGAAAGGAAACATTAGAATTGTAACAAGCCACTGACTGATAGCATAAAACAAATCTAAGTATTGAAGCCAACCACATTGTCCTTGTAACTATAAAGATAATTCACAGCAGTTACAGCTACATCACCAAAAATTTGAAATTATCCCTCACTGAGTTATAATTATAGCTTAACTGAGGCATGCTTTAAGTACTGCAGAAAAAAATTACTTATAAACGGCACATTATCAGTAACTATTTGCAAGCGCTGATTCTAATATACAAATATTAGCAAACAAAAGTGTGTGATCTGTGGGGCAATCCTAGATGCAACATGTCCACCATTCCCACCTTTTTTTTCCTATTCCTGGTGAAGGCTATCTCAGCCCGCCTAAATCCTACATAACACAGTTCATAGACACTAGTCCTATGACCATTCTAGAAGTATAGAAGAAGCACAGTTGTCTCACTGGTGGTCAAGCATCTGAGACATCCTGGGAAGGCATGCGACTTTCCACTTTCAGCTGGCAAGAGGACAACCTTCCTGTACACAGGTAGCCAGGGCACCTCTTTTATATACATTGGGAACACTTGTTACCTGCCTTTCTCAAACTCTGAAAATGTTCTTTTGAATGTCTTCTTAAAATGTGTTAAACTAAAACTCCCACCATCCCAGCAGGCAACACCAACTACTGTATCTAGAAGATCCCGGTTTTTATACCTGCAGCACCTGAGCTCTGTACAAACACTTCCCCATTTTTAATTTACACTTTCCTTCAACATACTGTATTCTTATTAACTTCTGGACTGGGGAAAAAAGTACATGAGAACATAAGAAGAGCCCTGCTGGATCAGGCCAAGGGCCCATCTAGTCCAGCTTCCTGTATCTCACAGTGGCCCTACCAGATGCCTCTGGGAACACACAAGTGTGTAGTCTGTCACTACAACCAGTGGCAAAAATAGTCAAGGCCAACAGCCATCAGAATTCAGATTTATTAAAAAGCTTAAAGAGCCCCAAGTGCCTCTACTGTACTATTTTGCCCATTCCATTCTGGGAGATAGTGTGTGAATGAATGCAATTGCTCTCTGTTTTGGTCTAGCGGGGTGCCATAATGATCCTCAACTTAAAACCCCGTCCCAGTTTAGATCTTAGCCAGGATCCAGGCAACTGTTTATCCTCTTCCTGCTCTTGTTAGTGCATCAGAAGAACTTACAACCATAAGAAGATGAGTACAATCCTTACAGCAAACTCTATTTCCTGCTTCATTTGACCTCTTCTATCAAAGTTATCTTATGCCAGTTGCCTACATCTTTTCTCTCATCCCAGTCACCTACATCTCTTATCCCAACTGCCTACATCATTCTTCTCATGTCTACTTCCACATCTCATTATCATCAACAGTAGTAGTCTGGTGTGGTCAAACAAGATGGGAATGATCTTCAAAAGAGGTGCTTCATTATGCACAATTTTGTGGCTACATTTCAGGTTGAGCGGGATGATAACTGATACTGGAGAATGGGACCCTGTTAAAGACATTCTGTTATTGCAGTGTCATGTAAAACAAAAAAACAAACAAAAAATCCCAACTCTAGTTCTCTTGTTTTCCCAATCCAAGGGAGAAGAAGGGAAGCTGTGAAAGTGGGAAACTGCTAATAACATCTATTAAACCTTTTTTTTAAAAGTATGAAATCTACAACCCCAGCCCCCAACTGAACACTGGAACTCCCTTTTCATTCACGCATAGTTCAGGGCCCAGTGACTCTTCTCACAATGTAAAGGATTCTGGCCAGTTCACATGTTCCCCTACTCATTCCTTAAGTCACTGCTTGGCTTCCTCTATCATCATGAAGGGAATGTCAAATGTCAGTTTGTTCAAAAATCTTTCAAATCTTGGTGTCTTAGATAACAATAATCTTAGAACTGCAGAGCTGGAAGGGACCCTATGGATCATCGAGTCTAACCTTTGTTAAGGAAGCACAGTGGGGAACTGAATCCCCAACCTCTGGCTCTACAGAATGTCTAAACTGGAATTCTACAGAAACTCCAAAATTCACTGAACTGTGACCTGACCTAGGTCCAGCAACTTTATCATGGAAAATCTCCTTCTCATGGAATTACTTTCTGGAAATACTCCTGTCTATATGAATTTATCCTGGCTGGATAGCTCAGTGTGTTGTGAGTTTGATTCCCCATTGTGCCTCCTGGGAGAAGAACCAGGCTGCATAGCCTTGGGTACGTTGCACAATCCCAGTGCTGTATAGAGACTAATACACTTAACAAAAGAGATTGAGTACCAATCTACTGGGACTAGTATTGGCTTCACTTCAGGTACTCAGATTTAAGAGACCAATTGTGCCAGTCTGTCACTTCCCTAATATCAAAACAAAACAAATCTTGGCTTTTGAGAACTCAGCTATTAAAAGGGCATAACAATACCAATTCCTTCATCTTCTTGGAATGTGTATTACAAAACTTACTGCATCACACATATAGAACTTTTCTGCAGCAGAATCACAGAAATTCATTTAACCACCACTTTCTTGCACTGAAATTGATTGCAACCTGAGCATGTTAAACAGATTTACAACTATGTTTTCCCACAAAGTATTTAACACAAACTGACATATTCATTCCATGCAATTCATTTTTTCAAATCATGTTTTGAATCCTGAAAACTATGCAGATATGTGTTTGATTTTTATACCAGTGAACTGAAGCTGCATATAATGCTTTTCATACTTTGAAAATTCCTCAAACAATATATGGCTTTTCTAAAGACTACTGGAACACAACCTGTAGTATAAAACTTTTACTATTTACAAGGATGAATCTGCAAGAATTCAATGTAGTTCTGGCAAATACATACATTTAGGATGATCATTAGCAAAAGAGAACAAATACAGTAAGTCCTTTTAGAAGTGAGATGATCTCCCTGTGGATGTGCTACTATGCTCTAGAGAAAGTATTCTGGTAATTAAAAAAATGCTGATAGTAACAAACTGTTGGAAAATATGCAATATTTCTTCAGTGACAGCAAACACCTAAGTCTTTTTTTTTTAATGTTTTATGGGCAAATACTAAGAGGTTTTCTCAAAATGTAAGGTAATCTGGTAGTTGCTAGAAGTACACACTGTTCCACATCCTTTCACTGCCTTGTGCATGGCTGCTCATCCTTGTGCCCATTTTTATTCCTTCTGAAATACTACCTGCTAGAGATTATGTTAGGGGACCCAATGCTTTCCAAGCTTCTCACTGCTCTTGTTTCTCTCAAGAGAACCAGGTACTGACAATATGATTCAAAAGCTATCACCGAATGCATCTCACCACTACACAACCACTTACTATATATCTATAAGCAGAACAAGGCTTATCAAATGGGGGAAGCCAACCACAGTATTGTAGTCATTTCAGCAATTCATAGGTGCAAAACTCCAACTATCCTTACAATATATTTGCAAATTCACTCCGTTGTAGACCATGCTTCTTCCTCCCTATCATTCCATGGTCAAAGTTCTACCACTGCTTAAGATTTTGGTTTCTCCAGCCCAGCCTCCCCCAGCAGAGCCCCTTCTACATGTGGTGGACTACATCCCATTATCCCCACCCCTGGCTGGGGATAATGGGGATTGTATCTCTACACCTGGGAGGGGGGGATCAAGTTGGAAAAGGCTGCTTTAATTTATCTGTGATGCTCACCCTATTTTCCACTTTGCTTTGAGAGGCATCCCTCCATTTCTGCCATGGTTACTAATAACTTTCCATGAAATTTTATAAATGAAACAAGAACAAGTACACAAGCTGGGAAAGCCACAAAACGGAGCTCTCTGGTGGTAGAAGCTAGAAATACCCCCCTTTCACCGTCCAACTCCGTCTGAGGATTCCAAGAAGCCCGCCGGCTGCATTCGCCTAGACTACCTGAAATCCTGTTGTCGCAACTGGAGCAGACCCACTAGCCTGGTGAGGATTTTGGGAGTCGACACCTTCATAAGTCCCACAGAGGCAATGGGCCGACTCTAGCTGCGAACCACAAAGACTAAGCAACAGGATCTCCGCTGAAGTTACCAAAAGTTCTCCAGAAGAAAGATGCAATGATGGGAAAGATCAGTTCGGAAAAGACAGGGGGGCCGCTGTCCAAAGGAGAAAGGCGGCGACCCCCTCCTCACGGAGCGCTGCGCCTCTTTCGGCAGGAGAGAAAATCCCGTTTCAAGTCACCCACGCCCTCGACCCCTCGCCCTGCCCGCGAAAACGGGCGCCCTCAGAGAACCATCCCTCGGCCGGGAGAACTCCTTCCTTCCTTCCCTCCCTCGTTCCTGCCCGTCCTTTGCTTCTGGTCTTCTCTTCTCTTCACACCTTTCTTACCGTCCCAAAGAAGAGGATGGGGATGCCGCCAACGCCGCCCCCGCAAGCTCAAAAAAAGGCTGGTGACTTTGGCCACGAAGTGCGTGCGCGGCGCGGGGCGTCCGTCCGCTCGGCTCTGCCTTTGCGCTTGGCTACAGCCGGCCGTCCCCAGGCGCGCGGCGGGCCGTGAGGGAAGAGTTGAAAGCGTCCCTTTCAGCCGAGGGCGAGCCCCACCTCAGGAGCCAAAGGGTGTTTCCAAGAACAGCTTAATTACACTGCCCGGCGGGAACTGGGCTCGAGCCCCCAGGACCGACGGGGCGGGAAAGGAGGCAGCAACGCTAGGCGCGCGCGGATAAACACACCACACACACACACGGAGGCAGTGCCCGGCGCACCGGCGTCTCTGTGTCTCTCCACACAGAGCCTCCTCTTGTCTCTTCTCGTCAGCTCCGTGGCCTGTGGACTGACGTCCTCTCACGCCTCTTTCCCCAGGGTCTTCTCACAAGGTGCCCGGCCCTCTTTGGCTCAGGCCCTGACGAGCACCCCTCACGCCACCCGCCCACGCCCTCACTTTGCCCACCGAGTGGAACAAGTTGTCAGAGTTCCCGGCGCGCAGAAGGGAGCGCTGTCGGGCGAGCGGCCGACACCTTCGGCAACATGATACTCCCCGGCGCGGGCGGGCGGCCCGGCCCAGCCCTCCTCCGCCACCGCCTGAGGCCCACCCCTTGCCTCCTCTTCTCGCATCTTGCAACACATCGAGGGTAGAAAAGTGGGGGAAGACGAACCTCCTGGCAAATAAGGGCGAGCGTGATCCTCCTGCCTTGCCCAGCGACTCTTCACCTACCCGCCTGATTAGATCAGGCTGTCTAGATTTTAACAAATAAAGACTGGGGGCTATGGGGCGTAATCCGCATTCTTCAGTTTGATTCCCAACCGTCCGTGGAAAGCAGAGCTGCATTTTTTGGCCATCGAGCCTGGGAACTCGTCTATTAATTAGGCTGCAGAGATGCTTGATCAAGATCGGCACGCCTGAAATCCCACCATATATTTTTCCAGCTGTGTTTAGCAAAGGAAGGCGCTAGGGAGGAAGGGTGACACACTAATTGAGAACCTTGATACTATCTGTCCTAAGGGCCTAAGTATTAAAACCTGAGATAGCGAAATTAGTAGGAAATGGTTAACGGTTAAGTTCACTGCTAAATCATAACCTCTGTTCACTGAAGGCTGAGCTGGAGGGGAGAAATATTTAACCCTTAAATTAGTGTTAAATTGCTGTGTAAATTTGATTACTGTAACTTTATCTGAAAGAAGTTTTCCAAATCATTTTCAGATACTGTAATTCTATCCCTCAGTTTCCTCCAAGCCAGAATACATGCCTTTTTTCCTCCCTACTTTATCTGGAACAAGTCTAAGAAGGACTGTTCCGTAGTTTAGTGGAGATGCAAATCTGGATCTCCCAAGTCTCAGTCTAACACTACATGGATCACTGTATCCTACTGTATCTTTTCTGTATATCCAGTAAGCTGTCAGCCTGTGATACAAAGCTCAGATCACTCTTCCTATAGATCCAGATAGTGGAATATTTGAGAAGCCATGTTATTTGAGGAAGAAGCGGGTGATTTCATCATAGAGCCAACTCATGCAGCATTATGCATTTTGAAGTTTGCATCCGCAGAACATGAAAAACGTATGCAAAGTTTTATTTATGGGCAACAGAACCATCAGGAATTTTTCATCAAAACAGTTTTCTATCACATGACACAGAAAACAAAAACTGGCCTATAGGTACAACATGCCAGATTGCAACAGGAAACTGGCCCTGAGACTTCAATATTTCAATATATATACTGTATTGATGAGTGTGTGTGTGTATGGGTAGAATCCCCCCATCCATCCATCCATCCATCCATCCATCCATCCATCCATCCATCCATC